AACACCTGATTTGGAAAGAGTGTCCTGTGACACACTGTACAAATCAAAGTGGGTCTGTCCCGAATCTGTTCACGGAACGCTGAAATTGCTGCTTCTATAACTTCACTTACCTGCGGCTCTTGAACGGCACCACTGACCTGAGCTTCCTGCTCCGCTCGGCTCAGCTGAGGCTCCTGCGCAGCACCACTGAGCTCTGGCTGCTGCACACCGAGCTCCGGCTCGGCCTCACGTCCACCAACCTGCACCTGAACGACACTCACAGCAGGCTGCGCATTTCCCGTTACTGCCTGAACGTTACTGGGCTCTGGTTCAGGCAGCACACTCAGGTGACAGGGTCTACAGATGTACCTGTACCTCCTCCGGATCCTCAGTGCACACTGCAACTTGTGTTGAATGTGGTATAAGGGATCTAAATGTATGCGGTCCCTCTTCTGTTGTGTGCAGCGCGCTATGTGTTGCTGTCTAAAGTCGGGGTCAGTGTGATACATAGTATATATATTTTGTAATTTTCTTTTTCTGTATATGTCGTTACACTTATACAGATTAGCACTATAAAGTCTCTTATTAATTCTGTATGAAGAATTTTCTAAATATCTTACAGTATAGTACCTTTTACGTTTGTTTTTAAAAGCTGGATCCGTGTTGTATCTAGTAACTACGCATTTCCTGTGTTTCCGTTTGAAAAGTGGATCTGTATTGTATCTAGTGACTATGTACTGTTTCTTTCTGTTCTGATATACAGAATCAGTTGCATATCTTTGAACATGATATTGTTTCTTCCTATGACGCACTAAGTCATCGGTTTTGTATGTCACGGCTCTATGTGCTTTTATTCTATCTTTAATGTTTTGATAAAGACTTTTAGATGTTAAAAGTCGTGTCTGTCTGTAAAGTGAATCAGTTCTATATCTGTGTTTATGTGTCTGTAGTTTTTTGGCCCTATGCCTTGTACAGCTGGCATACTGCTGCTTTTCATGTTGTTTTTTTGTAGTCAGTTTTAGTTCAGCAGATTCCTTCCCAGGTACTGATTTGTTTCTAATTCGACGAGCTGCTTTGCGACGACGTTCTTTACTTACCTTTGTTAAACTCTGTGTCTTCAAAGTGTGACCTATGTGTGCTGTGTGACGAACGGTGCTGGTGTGTGCGTGCTCAGCAAAGACCTGTTTAGCAGTGTTCTCTGCGGGCTGCGCGGGAACATCAATGTTCTGAGGAGGAACACTAGCTGAGGCTCTCGGTGGCTCATTGCTATTATTTGTGACTGGCTCAAATGAAACAGGCACAAATTCGTACTGGGTCGTAGCACCACGGTCTCTAAAAAGCGTGTCCAGGTGCTGGACCAGCTGACCCAGGTTACTGAAAGTCAGCATCACTGCAGTTCCACCATAGAGAGGCAAACCTAAGGAGTCTCTTGAGTGTGAGTCGAAGAAACCGTACCTCCCTCTTCCATCACGGAAGACGGCAAAACACTCAGGTGAAACCACGAGTAAGGCACAGCTGACTTCTTCAGCCAGACACTCAAGACGTGTGGCCAGGGGTAACCACCACTGCTGTCCGTGAGGGCTGTGTTCTTCAGCCCTCAAAAACCCAAAGCCGATGTTTCCCTTCTGAATGTTGTACGTGTGTCTGTCTGTGTGTATCTGACGTGGAATCTCTTCTACGGCGAGGTTGTCGGATACGAACCGTCCCTCTTGAATGAGCTTCATCTTGGCCCATACATAAAGCGAATCCCCTTGTTCCAGTACCTTATCCAGCTCTGCTGTGCTAAAATGGACTCCCTCAGCGTGGTATGCCAGGAATGTGAGGGAGTTGCAGGTGCACTGGTGATTCCTGGAGAAGCGCTCATACCTGCTGTCACCCTGAGAATGAGAGGCCCTCACAGCCCGGCCTCGTCTGTACGCCTGTCCCAGGGCGGTTTCAGGCGCAGGAGGGGAGACTCTCTCCTCCTGAGGTGGCAGGTCAGCTGGTGGTTCACGCTGGTAGAAAGAGAGAAATAACTGGTTAGGCTTGTAAAAGACAATAGACAGACTAGATAATACACACATGTAGTAAGAAGCCAAAATGAACTTACCCTAGGACTAGGAAAATTAAAGTCCATAGATTCAATCTCCATCGGACTGTAACAGCTGCAGGGGGAAGAGCTGCTGGTCATCTGAAAAGATATTAACAGAGCAGAATCAGAACAGCTTCAAGTCAATTATTTATCTATTTTCTTCTGACAACATGTTGGCATCGCACAACATTGTTAAGATAACTAATTGTGTGAAAAGGTGCACAAAGTGTGTACCTGGTCAGGTGAAGGAGGAGGAGTGCTCATCATCCTGGAAACGTCAGAACGCGGAGGGGTCTGAAATCTGGGAATCTGGAGGGGATGGATTAATGAGTTAAAATCCTAGATAATCAAACTGGGATTTAGGCACCAAAGGTTTAGGCACCAATGTGAACATGTGAGTGAAGGATGAAAATACCTTCTGTGCTGGTGAAACTGTGGGAGTGGAGGCTTCCAGGTCTATCCTGAAGTGTCTCGGTGGTGTAGAAACCTGCACGAGGACCAATGTCATGAACAGGAAGTTTGAAAGAGAAAAGCGCAGACTGCAAACATGTCATGAAAGGAAAAATACCTTTCCTGCCACTATTTGGGCCCAGGAGGGTGCTTCTTCCACCGGGGATGCAGGCATTGCTGTCGTGGCAGGTGGAGCCGCCGTCGTTGCAGGGGGAGACGCCTGGTGAGACAAAGAAGAAGGAGTTAGAGTACTTACCTGATCAGGGGATGGCTCAGAGTTGTCAGGTCTGGCCTGCCGTCCCCTGAAACGTCGAGCCCGACGTTCAGCTCTCTGCAATGACAGAAGTGTGTAAAATATGCAGAATGTGATGAACAGAGTGTGAATAACATGATACAGCAACATTAGAGAGAAAACAGTCATGTGGATTATCTATTAGTTAAATAGATGAAGTGGAACATGTTTCTCATGAAGTATCAGCACCAACCTTCTCCTTGGGTGCTCCTTCCATCACAGCAGAAGGAGCAGGAACAGCTGGTGTCGGTGACACCTGGACACAAAATCCACTCGCATTAAAACAGGAACATTTCACAGTAACTTCTGATCAAAGTGAGGCTGAAATTGACTAAAGGCATTCCAGACCTGTGGCTGGGCTCGCCTCCTCTTCAGAGCAGCAGGTCTCCTCCCATGTTCCACAGGCGAAGCCTGATGGAGGAAAACACACGTTAGGTCACTTTAGTTAAGGAAAACCCAACTATGGATCCATCCCTCATCCTCCCAACAATATCATTAGTCTGATGGACTTTATGCTCGACTCACCCGATCGCCTGCAGGAACACGAGCACTGAGGGCAGAGGGAACCAGCTTCTCCATGGCCGTCAGGATCTCAGGAGAGAACCTCTGAGGATTCAGGGGCAGGAAGGACTCCCCTGAGGCCACAGCACCTACCTCCACCTGTCAGAGGATACACAGAGATTAGACAAAGCTACAGAAA